GATTACCAGATTCCATCGTAATTCTACAGTTAAACCTGTTAAAATCCATTAGTTAGTGATTCAAGAGTTGAGAGATGATAAAATCACTTCAAGATTTTGGATTTGATAATTCCACTAGTGAAGAGAAATAACACAATTAATTGCGTGATTAAAGATTGATTTTAGATCTATATAACTAAATAGACCGAAGTTCTAGTAAATCTCCTAATCATGGAAAAAAAAAATATGAGACCTACTTACGTATTATTAGAGTATCCACACCTATCGGACATTCACGTTCCCATCTCATCTTTACGTAGTTATCTTCACTCGGTATAATTTTATATCCCTAATTTTTATTTTTTCGATTAATTTGTTTTTATTCGATAATTATTTATTTTTTATTTAGATTATTTTAGAATCGATTAATCTGGTTTAAAGCAAGCATATTCTACCGATTTTTAATTTAAATTCGTATTGAGTGTAATTAGATGTTATTTCCCTAATTAACAAATAATTAATTCAAACAATATCATTTTGAACTTTTGAAAAAAATACAAATATGGGGATTGACCAAATAATTGCCATAAGGTCGAATCGTTAAAAATAAGAAGCAGAAAAAGTAATTAACCTTTTTTTTCCTTGTAACTTCACGGGTTGATGGATTTTGCCACTTCTTACTAATTATTACCTTTGGCTAAAGATGGGTCTGATAATCTGTCCTCCAAGATATTTGGCTGGTGAAAACACAAAATTTACTTCAATATTAACTTGAAATTGAGTCTATACATGCATGTATGTCTATATATATGCATGCATGTATGTACGTTTGTATGAATGTGTGTATATATATGTATGTATTTGTGTACTGCTCTTTATATGAATCATAGAAAAACAATAATCATTTAGAGTTATTTTAAACATTTCAAAAACATATACACTCGATTATTTGACAGTCTAATTTAAACAACATATTTGAGGCAAAATCAATTATTATTATTATTATTATTATATTTGCCACGTGTTGGAGAGTAAGCCATCATATTGCTGACGGGGACGGTGATGATGTGTCACGTGGTTCTGACAAATGGACTTTGAGCATGTGATTGTGCACTAAACCCAAATGCAGACCCCATACGCACAACACGTGAGAACGTACTCTTCTTGTCACACACACACACATACATACATACTACATACATATATATATGTGTATTACTTTATTTATATAATAAATAAAAATATGTATCAACTCTTTTTGGGCCTTTATTAGGTTAGCGTATTTTATATTTCCTTCTCCAAGGGCCCACCTCTCTTTTTGGAGACATGGTGTGTCTTAAAACGTGATTCTGTGGGTCCATTAACTGAGGAAACATATACGGCTAATGAGCTTGCCACGTGGCACACGGTCTTGCGGCTTGATTAGTCAACGTTTTGTCTGTGCGTGCATGAGAGTGTTCAGAAGACGTAATACGTCCACAAGAGTGTACTATAATAATTCATTGAACATATTTTTTTTGCGTGTTATCTCTCATTAACATCTTTGATAATGAATTCAACTTTTGGAATTTGATAGAAATAAGTAGCTTAAAAGGATTCTTCGATAATAATCTTACGAGAAAATATAGTTATGGGAATTTATGTATCTGAAATCATCGGGTGGGATTAGGATAATATTATAGAATATAGAAGATATGTCACAATCAGAATCATCGGGTTCAAGTTACGAAACTGTCTCTAAATTTTAATCACAAACTTATCTTCAGATTTATTTACAAATTACATTTAAGTGATCTATATTTATAAAATTATTTATAACTATCCATGCATGAGATGGACTATTAATTTGTAGACGAGTTTGTACGTATATATGTATATCTTTAATAAATCATACGTCTCCAACGGTGTGTGTATATACTATACATAACATGTACATTAATTGTTCGTGTACGTGTGCACGCAAGTTTCTCGTCTGTTATGGTGACACCTTGTGGATTTATATATAAAAATATATCATTTTTGTCTGCGTGTTTAAAACAAAATTTAATTTTTTATTTGAGTTTTGGCCCTATCTTCTCGCACACTCTCTTCTACTCACATATATATTTTTATAAGATTTGTATACACACACATATATACACACACACGTGTATGTGTTTTTCTATACATGTGAACACATATAATTAAGACATACTCTGCGTATATGGTTGAACTGGCAATTATACATGTGTGTTTTTAGTATTGATTTTTCTACTAGCTTGCTATATATATATATATATGTGTGTGTGTGTGTGTGTGTGATTTTTTCAAATATTTTCAGTTTAATAAAAATGCATGTATCTTTAAACTATACATGATTTTTTTTTTCAAGTGGGGTTTAAAGGGTTAAAAGCAAAAACGAAAAAGTTACCACACGCAATTGAAGTAATAAAAAGTGGATTTAAAAGATTAAATTACCATTATGACTACTTGCATATGCTGACATTTCGATACCCGTAAAAAGAGGGAAAACTTAATTAATAATAAATTATGATAAGAGAAAATGAAACCATCGACAAAAAAAGTCTCACGTGATGGCGGGAACATAATGATCCTAGCTTCGTAGCTTTCTTCTGTTTTAATTAAATCTTATTCCACTAATTTAAGATATCTTTGAGCAATGCATGGCATACATACATACATACGTCATGTCGTATATATACACAACATATACTTGTAAGTGCATGTGTGGGTGGGTGTATATATAATGAATTACAAACACAAACACACGCGTGCACCTATACGTAGATATGTCTAGCTTTGAGTGATTAATTAAGGATTAATGAAGATAATTATGACCATAGGAAACACGTATAATATTTTTAATAACAAGATAATATTAATTATATGAAAAGTTGCAAGTCTAAATCATTCCACTGAAACTCAGGTATGGCGTATGTTTGATTGCAGGGGAAATATGTACATATATATATAATATGTAATTTCTTGTATTGTAATCATGATGTGATCATTTGATTAAAAAGCTTTTATGAGTTGAACAAACCTACACGTATAAAATAATTGTAAAAATAATACGCATTATACGCCATATTGATTTATAGTGTATAGATTTAGTGTGTGTATATATATTACATAGATATACAATGGTATTAATTAATAAAGGTTATAAAAATTTGAACAGACCTCCATATGTCTCTGTCTCGAAGGTTAACTGGCCAAGTGGTCACCTTGTTGAATTCTCTTTCGGTTCGGACACGTCATTTTCGAGCCATAGCGCCGAAACGGCTGCTTTTATTTTGAAATTTAATCTAAAGTTATAATTTAATGAAAAAAAAACAAAATATTATTAATGTGAAAATAGCTAACTAATTAGCACAATATTCTGCGCGCAGAAATTCTTTGTCATGAGTAATAATAATATGTCAACATCGCTTTCATTTCAAATATTTTTTTTTCTCTTCTTTAATTAATTCAATTTCTTTTATAGATATATAAATGTTTTATTTCCAATAGCTTATTTGATGCAAAATTAGATTATGATTAGATTGTGTATTGACCAATCTCAATATTTTGTTGATTCCATTCATGTCATGCCAACCATTTTTAATATTTGCCTCTGAAAAATGTTAGCGGGTCATTTTTTCCATTTTTATAAAATAAAAAATTAAAAAGTACATAAATTATCAAAAGACATAATTAAAGCGATTAGATTAATAAAATAAGGAAATATTTTAGCTTGTAATTCTATAAAATTGTGATCGTTATTATTTGTTCATATCGATTTTGCTATCACTATGGTTTGGTATATAAAACAAATACATTCTTACAAAATAAAGTAAGATATTAAACAATTAAAACGCATAATTTTCGAAAAGATCGGAATTGGATTAGGAACATAATAATGGTTGAGGCATGTAAAATCTGCATGTCGACATGTGGGGAGGCGCCTTAGATATTATTATTATTATTGTTTAAATAAGTGAAACTTTTTTTTTGGTAAAAGAATAACTGAAACTTTTTAGTATTCCGTCTTGTAAAATAATTATATCATATGGTTAGTGACATTATAATTGCATTTTTATTTTGCTTAATCCTTCTGTATCATTTCATATTTTTATATATGTTAATGGTACTTTGTTGGGGAAGCAAACTTCGTCCAACAATGATTTGCTAAATTTCCTAGGATTTGTATTATACTTAGCTCTTTAATTAGTTTCCTTACCTTTAAACATATATAAATCAAAATATGAAAAATCTGAAATATCTTTCTTTTTTATTTCTGTCCAAATATAAACTCAAATATTTTGGATGCTGTCCTATGAAAATGGATATGATTTAACATTTTTATAAAATAAATATAAAAATATTTAGATAGTGACATATCATGTACACAGACATTTAATCGAGGGAATGATAAGAGTTTATATATATATATATATATATATATATTTCAATATATACCAATCCGATAAGACGAAGAAAAATAGAAGAATACTATGTGAATCAAATCAATTGAAGGATCAATATCCTGCGCCATGTTAATTATTATTATTATTATTATTGTTGTTGTTGTTGTAACTGAATCTTGGATAGAATAAAAAAAATTCGTATTGAATAACTTGAAAAACAATAAGGAAACATTTCATTCATGTATAAAAAAGACCATAAATTTTTGTTTATGGAAATTTGATTTTAATCTTTCGTCTCCATTCATGGGAATTTTATTTTCATGGAAATTTAATTTTCTAAAAATATGAATTTACCATGTAATATATTTTCAAAGGATGAGTCGGACCACAGCGTCAGAACACAACTAAAATCAAATATCACCGACTGAGACTGTGACCCGAGCCACTCGGTCCACCGGCCACGACCGTGATTTACGCCTCCTAGTGTGGTCGTCCCGTGATGCCACCGTGGCATTTTTAATTTTTATCATTTTATTATCAGAACACAAAATAATTACAATAATAATTAAAATTATGCACGTTCGTGCAACTTGTAACGAAAAGGGCAAAACTTGATACGACTTAAAAAAGTAAATAAACTATTTTTTCCACTATTTCTCCAAAACTGTTTTACAAGTCGGTCCACAAAAATTAAAATTATTCCGAAACAACTAAGGAAAAAAAAGATTCATGAAACACACCCCTCACAAAATTTCTCTCACCGGAAAATACTCCTCGCCGGAAAACTGACCGGAGAGTTCACATTTCCGGTCTGTTTTTTCTTGTTCATACTGCGCTTAATGGTTCGGGAAATATTAATAAATCTTCGAAATCTTTGTAGTCGGAATTAAAATCCGGCAATGGATCAGACCCTCCTATGCTCATACCTTCGTCGAAAACTATGTCGGCGAAGAAATCATTTTCCGGCAGGATATCCGACATGGGTTGGTCGAAAATCGAAATCTCCGGCGGCTCGTTGAAGAAACTGTCGAGAAACGGAGTGTCTAACGGCAACGAATCGTCCGAATCGCCGGAGATACTGTTCCCGGTTTGGAACCACGGATTTCCCGGCAACTCCGTTTTGACCTTTTTCGCCGGTTTAGTGATCGATTCGTCTTCTTCGGCCAAATGGGTCCTGAAATTGAGAACCGAAGTCGGAGACGAGAGGCGGTGATGAAACTCGTCGGACGACTCGCAACACGACGACGAAGTGTTCGTCTCCGGCTTCTCTTGTCCGGACACGACAGGCTCCGCCGGAGGTACGAGGAAATTCGTGAGAGCGTCGGGTCCACGGAGGCGAATCGCTGCATTGTCGTAAACGACGGCGGCTTCCTCTGCCGTGTCGAACGTCCCGAGCCAAATCCTCCGCCGCTGTTCTGGATCACGAATCTCGGCGGCCCACTTCCCCCACGGCCGCTGCCTCACTCCCCGGAACTTTCTGCCGTCGGCGGCGTGGCCGGAGGAAACCTTCAATGACGGCGACTCAGCCGCAATACGCTTCCGTTCCTTCGTCGGTACGGAAGCCGAGTTAAAATATGTCTAAGACAATCTCTTTTACTTTGGACCAGACACAGTTTAAGTCCCGCAACTAAAGGAAAAGTAAGAATTTTTTTAACCTTCATGGCACGTCGTTCCCTGACAAATGCTGGGTGAACTTTGTTCTTCAAGTAATCCATTTTCTGATTAAAATACCACTCGGGGGCTCGTGGCTCAATGAAACAACTCGGCTCGACTCTGATCTCGCTCACGAACCGCTTCACCCTCCGGCGAGGAATCGGTAACTCGTCCTCGTCGCTGGATGAGTCAGTGGCGTCGGGATCGGTCATGGAGATTCGGACCATCCTCGAAGCCGGTCGGAATATTCCACCTCCACCGGAGAGTTTCTCCTCCGGCGACTTTCCGGCGTACTTTGTGAATACGGATTTGTGTTCTGTGTACTTCACACCCATATACTCATCAAGAATCACCATCCTCCTCCTCCTCCTCCTTCTTCTATATTCGCATCAAAGATTCAGAAATGGGAACCGAACGAGAGAGAAATAAGAGATTGCGAAAATGAAAGATTTTAATTTTAATTTTTATAATATTTATTTATTGTTATTGGCTTCGGAGAGAGATTTTGGTCGAATGGGGGAAAGAGAGCGTGTTTGGGTTCACAGTGAAGTGAAGGCTATCTCCAACTTCTCCTCTTCAAATCCTCCTTTATAGGATCTTCACGGGTTTAGCGGAAATTGGTAAAATAAAAATATTAATATAAAATAGGATATATTCTTTTTTTTTGTTAACTAATAGGAGATATTCTTGACAATACTTATTTCATTTTCGGATTTTCCCCCTTTGTTCCTCCTCCCATAAAATTGAACGTTTCCTTAGATTGATAACAATATTTAGGAGTGGACGATTTTGCTACGGTTTTTCGTAATCAAACCGTAGCGAATCAAAAAATATAATATCATTCTCAAATTAAATCTTTTAAAAACTTTCACAGTTAAAAAAACTGAATTTTTTGAAATAAAATCGAAACGAATCGAATTTTAAAAAAAAATCAAAAAATCGAATTGTTTTTCAGAAAATTTTAAATTTTCTGAAAAAAAATCGAAACCGAATTGAACCGAATATAAAATAATAATTATCTAACTCATATTTTTATAAAACCAAACCAAACAATTTCCACACCAAATCCGAATAGAAATGTTCACTACTAACAATATTATCGCCCCTCAAGTGGCAGTTCCGAGATTAAGCCGAAGAATCAGGGGTAGATTCGGTATTGCAGAATCGGGACGCCGCATACATTTGAGCGAGTGGGATGATGCCACGTGGCATATTATATCTTTGGCTTCTTCTAAGACATTTATACATGCTGACTCAGCGCGTGGCTTCCAGTCTCGAACTCCGCGATTCCTATCACGTGATCCCCAAGATACCCGGCTCCGGTTTTTTCACTTTAATCAGTCAAAATATTTATATTTTTTTAATGGAAAAATAATATTTCAAATCTATTTTATTTATAAATAATCAACTTCGTTAGTTTTGACCTACACAGTGTTTCGTTTACGTAGGTTTAATAGGCAACTAAAGATAACATCGGGGTATTTAAGTAATTTACGATGTTTTTTTTAACAACTAATAGGAATTGCTAATCTGTCTGTTTTGTTTTGTTTGGGAAATTAATCTTTCTGGTTTGGTGTATAAGAATACATGGAAATTAGTTTTAGCGTTGTATTTAACAAATAGAGGCAACGGAAACTACGTATGAATTTTTTGGAAAAATATAGAATTTTCTAAAATGGGGATTTTAGATTTGCTTCCCAGATGGATTAATGGGAGGATTAGTGTGTTAATCAGAGATTAAATCTGTAATAATTACCATTTTACAGCTATAACTAACGTGGCGGGCAACCTAGGATTCGCCGCCATTTTATAATCCAGTTGTGGGTACGGCCTCTAGGCCTTTTTCTCTTCTCTTTGTTCCCTCACGCGATTTCGCACAACCCGCTCTCGCGCGTGTGTCCACGCTCTTTTCTCTCTTCTATTTTTCTTATTGGATTTAATTTTCCTGTTTGTATACTTGAAATCTCACACTAGGATTTTGTTAGGAAGTAATTGTAGAAAAAAAATGTATATGTTTTTCCAATAATTTGATTCATTGACTATTTTTTAACTTTATAAATTTTGAAGTGTAACTCGTTCACTTGGTAATAATTATATCTTTTGTATTTTGTTGGATTATTTTTCCAAATATTAAATTTTTTTTACTTCGCTTTATAGAAGGTTGTTATCGTAAGATTGGTTTTGGGAAATATTGTTTTTTAATTCCCAATGGAGCCGCCATAATTTTGACACGATCTGTCTTAGTGCACTGTAGCCGATTATATATAGAAAAAACAAATGTATCATTCTAAATAAAAAAAATGAAAACAATGTAAAAATTCTAAATAAAAAATGAAAAAAAGGAAAATAAATAAAAAGGAAAAATAATGATGTAAAATAAGAATTCAAAATAAGAAAAAATACTAGACAAAAAAGAAAAAAATTTGTATGTATCATGTCTCTCTCGTGCATTTCTATCCCAAAGGAAAGAAAAAAAATTATCTGTTATGATATTCGATCACATTTTTTTTTCTCGTAATAATTATAGAATTGGCATTCTTTAATAATTTTATTAATTTTATAATAAACATGCACATGGGCCTCAAAAAAGATATGTTCACATAATTCATAATTTGTTACAAAGAACTTTGCACGACCCTTCGCGTAAGCCTAATTCCATCTGTTTTCATTAACTTTATCATTATCATCATCAATCACCCAATGAGAATAATTATTTATAACTTTGATTCACATCTTGACCACTGCATAAATTATACACTTGTGAAAATGTTAATTAATTTTTTAGGTACATGATAGTTTATTTAAGTGAATTTAACGAATTCAAATAAAACAAAAAAAAAATTGGAAAACGAAAATAATTTACATTAACTCTCGTTTCATTGACTCCAATCTAAATTTGAAATGCATAGATTAATTATCAGTTAAGATAATTATTCTGGCTTTAAAAATTATGACGGCTGTATTCCCAAAGTGTTTCAAAATTTTTTTTTGTTCAGTTTAGACTTCACTTTGACTTTGAAAAAAAATGCAAAAAAATATATGTAAAGAAAAAGAAAAAGAAATGAAATAATTGAGTTTTCTTCATCGCGAATGACACTATTAGATCTTTTGACAATTTTGGCTCAGACAGTTTGTGTCATTCAATGGCAAGTCCCACAATGTAATGTTTATCAACAAAATAGAAAGACAGAAACAGTTATTAAAACTTTTATATCTATATTTGAATAGTTATATGTTGATCGAAAAATAAACGTTTCTTCTTCATGATTTAAAATAAAATAAAAATAAAAAAATAAATGGCAAATGAATTTTTTTTGTAAATTTTTATTAGTGAATGTGTACATATCAGACGATTTATGGAAAACCATTGAAATATATGCTATTACCCGAACATACTAAAAAAATTGCCCGATCTAATATTGAGTTCGAAATTCTCTGCATATATATATATATGAAATAAAAGTATAAGCTTAGGGGAACCTTTAGATGAGTTGACAAAGAATATGATCAACATACCGAGTGGTTGGGGGTTCACTCTTTGCCCGCTCACCTATCGTCTGTCAGTTACGACTGATTTATCCCTACATATGTGTTTTAAGCTCGTGCGCGTGGGCGTGGGGTTTACTCCGTTATTGCCCCTATACTCACCTTGTAGTGGTCGACCGTTAGACGTATCTGGTGGTCAGGTCTCTCTGAGATCGTTAGACGGAGGTAGTGACCAATTCGATTCCACAGGTAAGGGTTGGATAGCAACGGTGGTTCCCAACGTTGCTAAAAAAATTATAAGCTTAGAATTCACAACCTTAAAATAGTTTCAATGGGAAAGTAAAAATCCATTAGTAGGTTCGGTGATTGATAAGTGTTAAAGTTTTGGATTATTAAACTAATGAAATAATGTTTTGGATTTTAGTACAACACACATCATTAAACTTCAAAGTAAGAATTTTTTTTAATATAAAAATAGCATCTTCCCATGCACGGATTATTTGGAAATGCGAAAATTAGTTAGACAATTAATCTGTTAATTAGAAAACAAAAAATGGGGAAAATGGCGCGTGGGGAGAATGGCAAAGATGATATTTGAAGATCCTGGTTGCTGAGAGAGGGAGGGAGAGAGAGAGAGAGAGAATCCTTTGGATTGGCAAAGACAAACCCCAAGGTTTAGTGCAGTGTTCTTGGGCTCTGTCCTCCATTGAGCCAAGTGACCAAATACATATATATATATATATGTGATGTACATGTGTGTGTGTATATATATATATATTATAATATCCAATTACATACATGTATTATAAGTAGGACCATTAGGAAAAATACAATGAAAGTTTGGACAAACTGAATCTTGTTTGGCTTCCCTCGATGCACAAAAGACACAGAAGATAAACGGCTTTTGAATCTCCCGACACGATTCCTAATTGATTTCAAGGAAATAAAATGGTTAACAAAAAATGAGTTTAAATATATATGATCTTGTATTATTTTTATTTATTTTATCTTGAAGATAAACCACACTTCGAGGGTCCCATATCCAATCAATCTCTTTAGAAGTTGACAAAAATGGAAAAAACCAAATCTATTTTGGTTAATCAAAACTGAATCGAATATAAAAATTGGTCTAAAAACAATGATTTATTTTCAAAACTAAATATATATTGT